TCCAGAGACGTTAGCTGTGACTATGCAAACTCCCTTGGGCGATGTCCGACTTGGCGAATCAAGCGAATCACGGGATACGAGCGTTGCACCAGTGAATCGAGCGATGTACCAGCGGATCGAATGATGTGCCAACGACCGCATTGTTATGTGCGAAAGTCAGAAATTCAATTAAGTGGAGGTCTCGCCATTCCAAACAGTGTTGAGTCGCTGACAACAGCCGATTCGCTGGTGCAACGCTCGTATCCTGCGATTCGCTAGCGAACCGCTGGATTCGCATAGTCTAACATCGGCCTTGTGCTGTGCAGAAAACGTGGCAGTGGTATACGACCAGTCAAAAATCCCGTTGAGTTCGACCAGTGCACCGCGTTTCCGTAGCAGATTTTTCTGATGGCATCCACGTAGAAGGTCACTTCGAAGTTCTTTTTCCATAAATCGAAAAGTGCCCTTCAATTTTAAGTTGAGAGCATTCGGTTTTAATCGAGCGAAGTGTGTTTAAATTCTTTTACATGTGGAGACAAAATGTCTTTTTTTTTTGTTGTCCCCGCTCACCCCTTTGTATTACATTGCCTATCTTAAAGGAATCCTTCACGGAAAAATCATGATTCTATTTCAGCCATAAATCACTGGCTTGAGACTCATTATCCACGATAATAATGAAAAGAACAGAAGTATTGCTTTCGTTTTGATTAAAAATTCGAAAACTCGAAAAGGCTGCTACGCGCCCACGGACGTCTTTCACAAATGCTGGCGACGGGGATGCTTCGTTCTTGGTGTTGGCCTTCCACTAGACCTTTTCTGGCCTTCCGCTTTATTGCATTCACATCTTACACTTCTACTCCATCCTATTCTATCAATCAATTTGTCTCCCAATCTCCGATATCGTGCGCTTCAACCTTGACCCGATTCTTTCATTGCGTCGCCTGATACGTAGCCGGCCAAAGGCCAACTTCTTTCCATGCCTCGCCTTTGGCTCCGCCCGAATTACCTTCGATTGTCCATAGAATAGTTTTTGTACGTTTGTTTCTCTTCGGAAACCGAATCTTCATGCGTGAAACTTTGTGTGCTGTTTCCAGTGATCACAACTGACACATATATTCAAAGAAAGAATGCAAGAATTTTCCGCGAAGATTCGCTGTCAACTAGTCATGGCAGTCAGTGCAATCTGCAGTGACCGCAAAACGAGCGTACCTTAATCGCATCGCCATGTCATAAAATTGAGGTAATGCTTTATAACTGCATGATAAATAGCCACTGAAATATCTGCATAAAAGGATAAAAAGGATAAAGCATTTGCCGTTGATCAATCCCTTTTTGGGATGCGGCACGCATTCTACTTCCATTTGTACATTCGTAGTGGCGTTTGAATGCGATGTGGCCTATACAATGACTTGCGGGGGCCAGCCGATGTTCAAGTCAGTGTTTTTATCCTCCCAGACAAGTCTGGTACCAATTAACCGACCCCGGAGGGATGGAAGGCTTGGTTGGCCCGGGCGACTCACGACCCAGGATTTGATCCCGGACCGCTCGCGTGGTGAGCGCGCCACTTGTCACTACACCACTTCCGCCCTCACGCTATGCTGTGATAAAATATCCTTGAATTACGCCATTTAGCTAAAAATTATGAGGTAGACTGAACGGGGCGCTTTTACCTCTAAGAGGAACATGAAAACAGGGCACTCAAAACCGTGAACTAGGACTCGCCCAAGGAGAAAGACGCCAGTGAGAGACGAATTGCATCACATACTTCCAGAATCTCCTCAGTGGCTCTCTCACTTGAATTCCCTTTCTCTCTCTCCCCCCCCAACTGCCTGCTTAAAGGCAGCGATTACATACGTTCAAGAAGGGTTCATTGGAGACGTGGTGGTCTCAATGGTACCCTGGTGGCGAAAAAATCCGTCAAAAGAAAACGCAAAATGGGACCCCTTTTGACTGCCTGTTTTTTTCACTCATGAACAGGTGACAGCTCAGAAAGCGGGCGTATGAACGAGTTCCGCGCAGCGGGTTTGTTAACACCATGCCAAAACCACACTCCAATCGAGTTGCTCCAGTTGTGCCGCTGCTGGCAACGCTGCTCGTCCAAATCACCAACTAAACTAGTGGGCGGATCGCTTTTGGGGGCGGAGTGCTTTCGAAGTCCTGCTCAGCAACCAGCGAACCTTCCGTCGTGAAAGCGCTACACCTCGCTTCCCTGGCAGCCAAGTAACTGATTCGTGTGGTGCATATGCTTCCGCGATGCGCTCCCACTTATCGTAATCGCTGCCTTTGAATATCAATTTTCAACAACGTTGTAATTGTGGAATAGTGCAGAAAGGCAAGATTCAGGACAAGGTGTTTCACCATGTCCTGACGCTTGCCTTTCTCCACAATTCCACAATTATGGTGAATATGTCATGTCTTACTTCATGGGAATCATGGCATCTGAACCTTGAGAGTGTCAATTTTATCCTACACACATCAAGCACCACAAACAACATGTGAAAATAACAATATGAAATTGACCAAGGGACCTCTATTTACAAGATAGTAGTAATATAGACTTTGATGCACTTGGTGATATTAATGACGAGAACGGGACGCTACTCGGTGTTTAATTACTGACTTGTCGAGTCATTGTGAAAGGTGCTACAGTTGAGAATCTGAGACCACATATCAATTAGCAATACATAGAGTTACAATAATAAGTTAAGGGAAGCTTTGTTATAATGACAGAGCTAATACAATTGTCAGTCAAGCCAACCTATAATGTTCCGTATGAGCAATGAAAAGTGCACTTAATGATAAAAGGCTACATCATAGAACTCTGTCGCACATAATAATTAATAAATGACACAACTTTTGATTCATCAAAAAACAAAAACTTTTAGGAACACTTTAAATGACAGCGAAGCTTAAACTCGCAAAATTTCTAGTCGATTCGCATAGCAAATTGAAATCCAGTCGGGGAACGCCGTTTGACCAGTGTATTTGATTGACCTGAAACATTACCAATGCATTGGTGGGTAAATGAGCCACGCGTCGTTAATCTTAAAAACTTCAATCACCCTAAAATAATCAAATTGATTCCCACTACTAACGGTATTTCAAAACGTATCATTAGGGAGTTGCTTCTACAACTTAGCCATAGGCTCAATTTCCTGGAACTACCAATTACCAGCTTATCTGCATCCAAAGAAGGTAGGCTTTGCACTTGTTGAATTGAAGAAAGACTCGCTCCGTTGAACCACCTTAGTGAGAAAGAGGGCATTTTTTTTTTCAACCGCAGCGCCAGCGCCCAAAAATGAATATTACTTCCGGCGGGCCAATTTGACACCACAAATGTTCTTACCAAATTCGCTGAAACTGGCGTACAGGTATTATTCCATGTCCTGATTCGAAGAATACTTTTCATTTTCAGCGCTGTCAGTGTACGTCCCCCCTGCACCTTGCGTTTGAGTCTAAACCATCAAAGCAAAGACTGTGAAAATGATTATGGGTGTGACGTCAATGATAAGTCTAAATAAGGAGACTCATCCTGGCGCCCTCCTTCCCTCCCCAGAAGACAGGGGCTCCCAGGATGAGTTGCTGTTGCTGCTCCTCCTAGGAAGAAGCTATCAGGATGGGCGACCACTTGGGCATTCTGACGAACAAAGTTCCGAATCGGTTCTAGTCAACGGCCTCGGACTACAATAATCATCGGTGTAACTCCACGCTAAGATCGAATTAGGAAATATGTCTCTGGACGGGAAGTTCCAATACGGTTAAGGCTTTACATTTAAAAAATGACCGCGAATACCAGGAAACCATAGAGCAAAAATAAGTGCTTGACAGCAATATATAAGCCGTTCCTGGCATACCTGAACCCAAGTAGACGGGCGTGATCTTAATAAGTGGGCAGTGTTTATTACAACACCCATGACTCGGTTTAGTGTCCCGAAAGCGGCAAAAAAGTTGCAGAGGTTCGAGGAAGGAATCAAACGTGATAATGGTTGGCTTGGCGTGCACGAAAGGTGCAAAGTTTGGCATTAAAATTACAATTCGGTTCCAGGGTAACTCGCTTCAGAAGCGGTTCAAAGATCTGACAAAAAGTGGATATGGGCAAACGAATGAGGATAAGTTGGGAGTCATTGACGGGTAAGGCGTGCACCTAGGAGAGTGAATGCAAAATCAAAATCCATGAAATGGTCGAAAAGTGTCCGACAGAAAATACAAAATAGATAATTATTAATATTTATTTATCTATTTTTTTATAAATATATACCAGAAGACAAAAGCATAAATCCCATCAAAAAGACATAGGGTGGGTCTTAGCCGAAAGATTAAGTTGCCGTGTTCAATATTGCTGGAATGCAGCAGCGCGCACGCGTTATCAGATTATCTGGTACCATATATTGATCTTGAAATCGCTGCTGTAGCGATAGATCGTGCATAGATTTCGTAGCAATTTTTT